ACAATGCTGAACGTGAGATTGAGCTAGGAGAGGGACAATTCGGCAATGATCAGATTGTAGAAAATGCAACCGATGAAGATCTCCTTGACTGGAGCGATCCGCACCAAGAGACCGGCGATTCTCCCTATCCTCTCCCGTCGTCAGACAGTCCAGCGGTGGATACGGAGGGTCTACAGCCTGCCGTTCCATTGGAGACCCTTCTTGAGCCTGGTCTACCGGACACTACGAATTCCGGAGAGCGACGAACAACCAGCCCGGTTCCAGCTACGCCGGATGCGGGATCTCCAATTCCTCCGATTCCATCCACAGGCTCTCCTCTACAGCGGACTCCGTCTCCTATTTCCCCTGTCCCGGGCATATCTCGTGCGGCGAGTTTACCCCACACAACACCACGGCCTGTGCGCCGTCCGACCGTCATAGAACAAGACGCACCAACGATGGGAGACGAGATGCTGCAACGTCGTCAATCGCAATCGAGAGATCCGGGTAATACCGACGAGAGTCTTTATCGCGTGACTATCCTGTCCAATCACCCGGCTGAAGCTTTCGCACATTACACGACCTCGATCATTGAGTCTATTGTCCTGCTCCCGCTTGACATCCTGTTCTTAAGGTCACTAGCCCGAGGGTTCCTCTCTCACCAATCTGCAGATCAACAAAGGGCCACGACTTCCTCATTGCTTGGAGATGTATGGCCTCCCACTTCGGGAATGAGGGTGCGAGACCTTTCCATGATGCAAAGATGGCAATTCTGGGGTAATTGGGCCCTCACGATCGGCATGCAAGGCCTGGTAAATTTTGTGGTATGGGGAATTGGTGCTCGGATAACAATGAGACTGGGTGAGAGATTCGGCTGGGGAAACATATGAGGTTTAATTGGAATCGAGCCGGTGGGCAGTTGAAAAGTGTTTCGTAAAATGTACTCAAAAGATACCCGGCCACTTGGTCATGCGAGAAGTCGATTTGATTTCCTTTTAAGGAGGAAGAAACCCGGCTCTAGAGAATATGTTCGCCTCCCTGTCAACTGCTGTCAGGTCGTAGGTTGGGCTAATATGTAGAATCAAGTTTATCGCCTAGTGCTTTGATCCTGTCCCGAGGAGGAACGCAGAGCCGCGAGGCTGAAATCCAACCAATCACTTACCGGAAGGCTTCTCCGCGTCGAATTATTGCGCAGTTGCAATTTTCTGAACGCTTGACTGATTGTAGCAACCACATTCTACCAGAAAAAGAGCGCTCAATTTCGATGTCAAAACGAAAATCAGAAGAGCCCTTGGAGGGCGTTCTCGTCAGCGCATCCCCGGCAAGCAAGAAAGCGCGTGTTGAAGATGTGCTAGAGGAAGAGCCACGTGCGCATGGTGGTCTGGATACTTCTCAAAGCCGAGACGCTCAACCTACAAATGGCGCCGGTGTCTTTGAGAAGATGACAGGGGACCAAGGGGAGGAAGAAGAAGTCGAATCAGATGTGGAAGACGATCGGTTACCGGTTGCGCCCCTGCGACAAAATGCTCCCGCAGAAGGCTACGACGATCTCTATCTTGACACCATCAATCGATCCTTGCTCGATTTCGACTTTGAGAAACTCTGCTCCGTTACCCTCTCCAACATCAATGTCTACGCCTGCCTGGTATGCGGCAAATACTTCCAAGGGCGAGGCCCAAAGTCTCACGCCTATTTGCACGCGCTCGAAGTCGATCATCATGTCTTCATCAACATGGAAACGAAGAAGGTCTACGTCCTGCCCGAGGGCTATGAGGTGCACAACAAGAGTTTGGACGATATCAAGTACGTGGTGGATCCAAAATACACGGAAGAGGAGGTCAAAATGCTAGACAAGGATCCGAAGGAGTCAACAGATCTTGCCCACAAGAGGTACAGGCCAGGTTTTATGGGAATGAACAACATCAAAGCCAACGACTATCTCAATGTTGTTGTGCAGGCGTTGGCACATATCTCGCCCTTGAGGGATTTCTTCCTCCTGCAAGAGTTTCCACACACGGCGTCGCAGTTACCAGTGCGCTTCAGCACGCTGGTCCGCAAGCTTTGGAACCCAAGGGCGTTTCGATCTCACGTCTCGCCGCACGAACTATTGCAGGAGATTGCCCTGCGATCGTCGAAAAGATTTACTCTGACACACCAATCTGATCCTGTGGATTTGCTCGCGTGGCTCCTCAACAACCTGCACAGTACGTTAGGAGGTTCCCGCAAGCCGCTCTCATCACCCATCTACAAGTGTTTTCAAGGGAAATTGCGCGTTGAGTCACAAGAAATCACAGCGAAATCCGATACGACGGGCGATCGACTCAGATTTGAAGAGTCGTCTAACATCAAGACGGACATGCATCCGTTCCTCATCTTGACGCTAGATCTCCCTCCAGTGCCGCTCTTTCGAGATGCGGTCGAATCCAAGAATATCATCCCTCAAGTCCCTCTGACCACCCTGTTACAGAAATACAACGGGCTGAATGCCATGGAGAGAGCGGCTCATCGACTGCGACATCGACTTCTACACCCCCTTCCGCCCTACCTTCTATTCCATATCAAGCGATTCAGTCGGAATAAATTTGTTTCCGAGAGGAACCCGACCATTGTGACATTTCCTTCTCCCCGAGGGCTGGACATGTCACCTTACGTCGAACCTAACCCGGCAGTCCACCCACCCGGGGAGCCAATCCTTTACGACATGGTTGCAAACATTATTTTGGATACGACATCGATTTCTAGTGCTGGTGGTGAAGATACTAATGCCGCCGACGCCGCGAACAAAGCTGCTGGGGCCGAGGGTCAGAAAGTGGCATGGAAGGTTCAATTGAGGGACAAGGCTGTTGCATATGCTCAGCGAACTGATCTCCCGGAATGGCTGGAAATACAAGATCTCTGGCTCGAACGAGCAGAATCTGAAACGCTTTTCACGAGAGAGGGTTACCTGATGGTATGGGAACGACGGAGAGAAAAGAAGAAGGCCAAGGCAACGAATGGAGTGAAAACTCAAGGTTGAACCACGACGGTCTTGAATTGAAAGATTTTATCAGCTCCCAGTTTTATTTTATTCCAAAAGGAAATGACATGTCCGACTTTAGGTGCATGTAGCTTGTCGTAGCTAATTACTTCTGGCCAGCGGTGAGATCCGCGATTTCGTGACCTGCGGTGGAGCGGCAGAAGAGGATCAAACGGCGATCTAGTCTATTCGCAGCTCTTATCGACCTCTCTTCATTTCGACACCATCAAGCAAATCTCGTCATTGCATCTCATGTGCTTATAAGTGAAGGTGTCGACGTTGGCTGAAAGTCATGAAGCTAGTCCAACGCTTTGCATTGGCTTTGCTCCCAGTCTATACACTCCCCTCCCGCGCCTTGGTCGCCCCCGTGCAGGATCAACAACATGCGATACAACAGCCGTCTTTAGCTCTAGGCGGTCACACTCTCGATCATGGCGAGCTCTCGGATGTGATAGCTACTTCGCCCTTGTTGTCGCTGCATCGTGCCATTTGTGAAGTCGAATCAATTTCGGATAACGAGGCGGCGGTGGGGAAGCTCCTTGTCTCGATTCTGGAAGCGCACAACTTTACGGTGCTTACGCAGAGTGTGCCGTCGCCGTCGGCACTGGGTTCGACAAGCAGCAGCACAAAGGAGAGGTTCAACATCTATGCCTACCCGGATGTTGCGCAGTATGGACGCTCCGTTGCGTCTGCGGGGCGGGAACGAAGGCTGCCAAAGGTACTCTTGACGTCGCATATTGACACGGTCCCGCCGCATATCCCGTACTCGCTGTCTATCCCCACAAAGGGTGACGACTCTGGCTTTACGACATCGTTCTCGCGCAAGGATATACTCATCTCCGGTCGCGGGACGGTCGACGACAAAGCTTGCGTGGCTGTTCAAATCCAAGCCGCGTTGGACCTGCTCGCGGACCCCGCCATTTCCACGTCCGTCTCCCCCTCGGACCTTGCGCTGCTGTTTGTGGTAGGTGAGGAAAATAGGGGCGACGGCATGCGCCACTTCTCCTCGTCGAAGCTCTACAAAGACACCCGCGACGACTACAAAGCAATCCTCTTCGGTGAACCCACGGAGGGCAAGCTAGCGACCGGCCACAAGGGGATTGAGATGCTCTCTCTACGCGCACGTGGTAAAGCCGCGCACAGCGGTTATCCATGGCTTGGGAGGAGTGCCAATAGTATGATCCTACCCGCACTCGTGGCTCTTGATGGATTGGGAGATACACCCGAGGAGGAGGGCGGACTGCCCAGGAGCGACAAGTACGGCAAGTCTACGGTGAATGTTGGATTCATGCAGGGAGGTGTGGCGGGCAACGTCGTCCCCGAGTTTGCCATGGCCGACGTGACCTTCAGGCTCGCAGGGGGAACTGTCCCGGACGTCCGCAGAATAGTCACGGACGCGGTGCGGAAGGCTGACCCCGAGGGCTTGTTGGAAATGCAGTTCTCTCAAGGATACGGGCCCATACCATTGGATGCAGACGTGGATGGTTTCGAAACGATCACGGTGAACTACGGGACGGATGTGCCGAATCTGGATGTCGAGGAAGGGGTCAAGAAGTATCTCTACGGGCCGGGGAGTATTCTTGTCGCCCATGGCAGGGACGAGGGGCTTACAGTGGGGGATATGGAGGAGGCGTTGGAGGGATACAAGAGATTAGTGACGCACGCGTTGAAACTGTAACTCCCCTTGCAGAGGTCATCTGGGCTCGAGGTTGAGTCTTCCAATTTACAACGATAGAAATTGGCGTTGAAGTGAGTATCAGATCCAAATATGAGGTAGTTGGAGACACAGTGATGCCTCACTCGCAGCGGAGCCCAAGGTAATGCCAAGACTACGTGGCGCCATTCCTAATTCGGAGCCCACACATTCGGCAAACTTTCCGTCCACCTTGAATGCGAAAAGTTGCAGCCAAACTGCGCCCAGAAATCAATTTGCACACCAACGAACCCTCACTGCCTCCAGCTTATTCCTCAGTCTCGCTTTCGCCAACTCATCAGACCGTTCAAGATGGCGAAAGAACGCACTGAGAAGTCCGGCATCATTGTCGGCTTGAACAAGGGCCATGTGAGTATTCTCTTTCCCTGGCCGTGTAGACCCAACCCCCTCTTTCAGGTCGGCCTCCTCCAATCGACAAAAAAATATGGTACACCACGGATGTTTTTAACAGACGGCGAGGAGGAGGATGGTGACGAGAAGGAGGCCGAACTCGACATTTCCCCTTTCAACCCAGATCAATGCCAGCATCCGCAAACAAGCAAGGATACTAATATGTCATTTTTTCCCTCTCACACAGAAAGTCACACCCATCACCAACAAGCCTCGGATCTCCCGGCGCAAGGGCGCCCTCAGCAAGCGCACCGCCTTCGTCCGCGAAATCGTCAAGGAAGTCGCCGGCCTGGCACCGTACGAGCGACGTGTCATTGAATTGTTGAGGAACAGCAAGGACAAGCGTGCGAGAAAGTTGGCCAAGAAGCGGGTACGTTTCGACCTACAATACCATCCCTGTCGCTCGCTGTATTACACACAAGAAGTCTTTCTGTGGAGATTACACGTCCTGGAATCCCAGCCTTGCGCTGCGAGTTTTCCTGTTCACACTGTTACTGTTGGACCTGGAACTTGTGTGGAATGCAAACAGGCAACAAAATCCCAAGATCCCTAGAAAGCTAACGTTTTGTGTCATTGTATAGCTCGGTACCTTCGGCCGTGCGAAGAGAAAGGTCGACGAGCTGCAGCGTGTCATCGCCGAGGCGAGAAGAACTGGGGCCCATTAAACATCGCCAACATTTTCTACCCTGGTTCTACTATTGGGCACAAATGCTCTTTGACGACGGAGATGAGAGAGTTGTAAAGTGATGGGGAGAGGGATGAACGGAGTCGACTGTCGAGGCACAAGACCTCTCGAGGCTGGGGAAGGATAAGACCATTGGGTGGGCGGGATGTTTGCCGATCAACCAGAGACCAAACAGTTTCCGAGAGATGGGCAAAAAAAGCATTTTACGGCGCTGTTGAACACGAGGAAATCTGCTCCTTCGAGGCTGGCTGGCTGGTTGGTTGGTTGTCTGTCTGGTTGATCAGCTAGCTGACTAGCCATTCTACCGGCCGGCAATCCAACCAGCGATCAAGGTCTCCCAGGGTTGCGAGACCTGTAGCCTCAGCAGGTTACAGGTTGAGACGACAACCTTACTTCCTCAACCTTGGCTTGATCTTTGAAGCAGAAACGAAAAATACCATGCAAAAGAAAAGAACCAAAAACCCCGTTCCGCCGGCTTTCCCTGGAACCATTTTTCTTCCCACTTCTTGCGTGGCGGTTCAGAAGACAAGTTTTGTTTCGCTCGCTCTGCCCTTCCCTGCCTTTTACTACCTGCCCTGCGTAACCTGCCTACCCGTATGAAGAGGAGTCTTGCGTGCATGCGACCTTGTTTCTGCCACGAACGCACGATTTCAATTCCAGTGATCTCATGAAGATTGAAGCAGGGTGATGCAATTCAATGCAATAATGAAAATGCGTAGACTCCTCGTCGTTGGGAGTGCCAGCACTCTGCCTGGCTTAGTGAGTGGCATGCCCTACAGTGTTTTCGCTCACCTACTCTTGATGGATCTGTCTGGGGGAGTCTAGAGGCCAGAGACCTACGCCTAGGGAGGCCACTCCAGTGATCAATTCCCCCTTCCCATTCCCACATTACGCCCACATCTCACGTCAATCATGTCTCCCTCTCCTCAATTACAACTTCTACATGTGTAGATGGACCAGCAGCCACTGTGATGAAAGATTCCCCCAATCACCGAATACTAACCTCGACTTCGTCCTCGTCCTCAAAGCCGACTTCTTCGACTGTGCTCTCTTTGTCGAGTCTTTCGCCGTCGAAAATCAACCACGGCGTCTTTGCTTCGTCGACTTTCCTCGTCGCCGCGAACCCGCGCATGATCTTGCCGATCGTGGTGTTCGGCCGCACCCGTAGCTGCATGGGTTCCAGGTCCTTGCTTACCAGTCGGATGACGATCGCACCTTTGTCTCTTTCTGCTACTGCTGCTGCCGCCGCCGTTCGCAAGGGAGCTCTTGCAGCTTCTGTGTCGTGCTCTCTTCCCTCCTGGTCTGCGTCGCCTCCGCCCTCGTCCTCATCATCGCTTCCATCGGCTGAGGAAGTGAGTAGCGATCGTTGTCGTTGTCGAAGACGGTCTTTGTCGCGTAGCCTCTGGTCGTAGAGCTCGGGCGTCATGGCTTCAAGCATGATGTGCCCTCCACTGGGATCCTTGGCGCTGCTGGAGTCGTATCCAGCATCCCCGTCACCGTTCTCCTCCACATCCTCAATGCCCAGGCTTAAACTTCGTGGTCGCTGCTGGCGGTGGTAATCCTTCTTCAAGCCCCGAATGATGCCGCGCATCGTCGTCGAGTCGAACAGTCTCGTCCCTTTCCACGTGAAGAAGACTTGCCTGGCGACCGAGTCTTCGAGGTCGAATTTCCGGCACCAGAACTCCTTGACCTGTTTCAGGGATTGCGATGCCTTGCGCTTGACGATGAGGGAGTTGGTACCGGGGATCTGGGACTGGATCATGATCTTGACTTCTGGGTCATTTTCTTGTTCGGGGGGCTTGTGTGTGCGTGCGGCTGACGCCTCGAAGTCCTGGACGGAGTTAGACGAAGCTGGTCGGCTGGTCCCCTGCGAATGCACACCGGCAGGTGAATTCGGATCAATATCTTCGCGGGCAATTGAGGGCTGTCGATCAGCCGGAGTGCTAGATCTCTGAATCGTTTGGCCGCCCTGACGATGAAGTCGAGCCTTTTCGCGTGCCTTCTGCTTCAGTAGGCGTAGGTATTCATCCTCCTCGTCCGAGTCCTTTTCGGTCAACAGATCAGGTCCCGCGTTCTTGGGCTTTGCGGGGGTGAGTTTGATCAGATCGTCGTCTTCGGTCTCCTCTCCATCTCCGTCGTCGAGATAAATAGTAGTACTCTTCACGGCCTCCTTGGACCGTGGAGATGGCCGTGTCTTTGGCGACGCTTCCAGCCCCTCCCACAAGTCCTTCCGCTTCGTCGGTGTGCTGCGCGTCACAGGTCTTCTTTGAACCTTGTCATCCTTCTTCTTCCTCTTCTCAACTTCACTCGCCGAACCGCTCCCAACGTCGCAATCATCTGCGGATATTCTGCGCTTCTTCGCGTCAGGACCCTCGCTCTTCTTCCTCTTTTCCCCTGCCCCGCCGCTGCGCGCCTTGGCCTTTGCGGCCTTCCTCTCCCGCTGCGCCCTCTCTGCGCGGACAATGTCCTCGTAATTGACATTGCGACTGAAGATTGATCCGGCGCCGCCGCCCGCTGTCAAGGCCGAATTCGTGACCGCAGGTACCGCAGCCCTTACAGCGCACTTGCTGAACAGGGACCTTTTCACGCCGCCGCCACTGCTAGTCATACTTTCGCGGGGATCGGGGGCAAGTTCCTGGCTGGTCTGGCAGATTCGCTTTGTGCATTCTCCAGGGGAGGTTGGCTTGCACGAGCGTGCGAACGGTGGGAACTTTGGGTTCCTCGAATCGACGGGCGCAGGAATCTCGAGGCGCGGGGGACAAAGCTCTTTGTGTCTCCCACGCGTTATTGTAGGCGTGCACGCCGCGTGGTGTTTACGGTGCAAGGGAAAGATGTCCCCGCCAGATTTGGTCGGCAGTGTCGCCGCTTTTGGGGGACAATGCCTAGATGTCTAACAAAGGGCGGATTTTACCTATTAATTATTATTATTACTGAGGTACATTAGTTAAGGTGAACCGGCCCCCCTGCCCCCATAACCTCACCCTCTAGAGGTAGCCTACCAACCTGCCTACCTCTGTATGTGCTCGTGATAGTACTCCCCATATACCGAGTAGGGTCACCCAATTCTGGGGTGTTTTCCCTCCTTTTACACCCCCGTTCTTGATTCGTACTCGACACTCGTACTTGGTACTGTCTCTTCTCCCTCCTCCCTCCTTGCTCGGGGGTATTGGTTGCATTTTCCCTTCACAGCCTCGTAAGGCTGTGGGCTGGACTACTTGGACTGGTTGACTGGGCACGACGGGGCCTTGGTGCCACTAACTACCAACTCATTAGGAAGGAAAGGATGCAGGATCCATGCGGGGTTGTAGATCATCATTGAAATGCCCATTCCCATTCCACCGAGCCCTGAGGAGATCCAACTAATCACTGTTGATCGAAACCTAATCATGATGAGCACTTCCCCAAGGTCGACTTGCTTCTCCTCCCCCAGTTGCCCAATCTCCCTACAGAGGATGATGTGGCTTTTCTCCATCGGCCGGCAAGCGTCCGTGGAGCGAGTGCATGCGAGACGTAATGTTCTTCTAGGTTTGATGATTCGAACCATGTGCGTTCGCATGTATACTGCCATCCGTCTCTTCCACCATATTGAAAACCTTCCGCTGGTTGATAACAAACAAAATGGCAGGGTCACAGCTCAATGGTCCCCCCACAGCACGCAAACCCAAACACATCATCATTGTAGGCGGTTCCCTCGGTGGCCTCTTCACCGGCGTAGCGCTCAAGCAGCATGGCTATGACACGACAATTCTGGAACGCAACCCAACGAACCTGCTCGAGAACCAAGGTGCCGGTATTGTCGCGGGAGGCGATACCCTCTCCTTCTTCGAACGCTACGACCGTTGCAAGCGACCGGTCGCCGTCACGTCTCACAAAAGAATGTATCTCGATCAATCAGGCAAAGTTGTCCATGAGGAAGTCATGAAACAGACCATGACAAGTTGGGACTTGTGCTATTACATGCTCCGCGCCAACTATGACCACCAGCAGAGTGGATACTGCAATGTCCCTGGACCCCAGCCTGGCGACGGCAGGATCGATTATCGGTATGGCTGTACGGTGACAAGTTTCCAAGAGGAAGGTGGTCAGATAAGGGTGTTCTATGATACGACTGATGGCGAGAAGGTGTCGATCGTCGGGGATATGCTTGTCGGCGCTGATGGGCCAAGTTCGACAATCCGGAAGATACTGTGTCCTGAAGTCGAGCGAAAATATGCAGGTTATTGCGTGATAAGGGGCACGGTGCCGGAGAACGAGGCAACTGAGGAAGCCAGGAAAGTATTTGTGGAGAGGTTTACTTTCTTCCATGCTCCAGGCATTCAAAATCTGACGTACACCATCCCTGGGACTGATGGGGCGATGAAGCCGGGAAAACGACTTTTGAATTTTGTCTGGTACACAAACTTTTCCGAAGGCGAGCAAGAGCTTGAAAAGGTGATGACTGACAAGGATGGCAAGCGGAGGCGCCTGACCATCCCACCTGGAATGATGCGGCCCGAGGCTTGGGAGATGGTCAAACAGCGCGGCAGAGACCGTCTTCCACCACAGATGTCCGAGATGGTCGAGAAGACGAAGAAGCCATTTGTGCAGTGTATCACAGACGTGATCACTCCGACCAATGACTTCTATGGTGGCAAGGTTGTGCTTATCGGGGATGCCCTCGCTGGGTTCAGGCCGCACACCGTCGCTAGTACAAGCCAAGCTGCGTTCGACGTCCTCATGCTCGTCGAGTATCTCAAAACCGGCGACCACGCGGAGTTCGTGCGAAGAACCATGGAGTACGCACGCTTGATCCAGAAAAGAGGCATGAACATCGGAAACCGAAGCCAATTCGAGGACCTGCCACTGCGGGAATACGTCGACGATCGGAACATGATGTCGATAAAGCGAGAGGATCTTGAATTTCCAGAATGGACGCAAGTTCGGGTATAGGACTGGTCGAAGGTAGATGTTCTGCGTCGAGGTGAAATATTGCTGGTTTGAGGCAAAGATCCGGTAGAAGCCACTGTTGGACATGAGCGTTCAGTGAAGGTTCAATCCATCGGTGTAAACTCGACAATCTCATTAGCAGCCTGCCTTGTCCATAAAGTAGGTGCTTCAGCTTCGTGGCCGCAGCCCAGAACGTCGAGGCTGTCTGGATTCTGCCGTTGGCAGAGGCTGGCCAGTGGGTATGTCTTCCGTAGCCAGCTTTTGCTTCACTGTTGAATTTTTCGCCACCGCCTTCTTCACGGCTAGTCTGTCCTTAGGGAGCGTTTGGGGTTTTACTGTTCGGCCGGGTACATTCCCACCGGCTAGCATCTGGACGATTGCTTCGGTCCGCTTCGCTCGATTTTGAGGGGACGCTGTCTGTATGCGCCAGAGCACAGCGTACCGCTCTGACTTGCTCAGAGATTCGAAGAAAGAAGACGCCGCAGGCACGGCAGCGAGGGCGGCAGCAATATCGTCCGATACAGTTATCGTTGCTGGCCCGTCGTAGGCGCGAGCCCAGCGACCATCCGCTTTGGCAGCATCAACGGCAGCAATGCCCGCTGGGCGCATCCTACCTTCCTGGACCAGCCTGGTCACCGTATTCACGTTCTTTCGGGACCAAATACTTTTCGACCGGCGCGGAGTATATCGCACCAACCACCAGTTCTCATCGAAGCCGTTTGCACGGCCGTCGATCCACCCAAAACATAAAGCTATTTCAACCGCCTCAGCTGACGAAACCGACGGCTCGCAGGCCGACTTCTTCGCGAGCTTAACATAGCATCCAGGGGCAGTGGTGTGCTCACGCTCGAGGAAAGTCTCAAAATCTCGTGCGGACCGAAAGGTGTAAGTGGGCAGGTCTGTCGGTAGTGGCTTTGGTGACATTGTAGAAAGCCAAGGTTGAGAACTGGTGGGGTTCCAAGACTTTCGTATTCCAAAGACTCCAATCGCCCGAGATCTGACGGTTAGGACAAGATTAGTTCCTCTCGGGGTTCCAGCGAAGTGGAAGTGACAAAAAGGTCGCGTGAGGAAAAGTATTGTAAAGCATAGACCAAGTTCCAGGAAGCGTAATCAGTGAATCTAGATCGATCCCGATGTCCGAGAAAAGAAATACTCTGCAAAAGACAGCGTTGGGGAGTTACTTGTTCAGGAGTAAATGTTGTCTTACATGAAGATAGAACAGTTGTCCGATGATCATGATTGCCAGGCAGCCAGGGAGGGATTGGGAAATACGGAGGCTTGGCGCCAAGACGACCCCTTTACGGCTTTTCTGATAATAACCATCACCAGAAAGGAAGGTACTACTGACTAGGAAATAAGTGCAGACGAGGGGGTCCTCTGGGTTATACGAGTCATATATTAAGAAATACATATTAATTATCCTCACCAACCTTTAATGTACGATACCAGAGGTTGTAAAGTGGAGATCCGATATACAGAGGACAGCGAGTCGCCTCTGCCTTCTCTGAGTCAGATCAGATATAAGCCAGCCAAGGCGGCGAGCTTAATGTTCATGAGGGATTCGTTACTTGATGTGCATGGCTAGTAGATGGCAGATTTTGTCACTTCCTTGCCCCACAGACATACCGGTGGCGGGGTGGTCAGTTCTTTTTTCATCACAAGCCTTTGGTGAGCGGTTGATGGTCCACAAGGCTATGTGAGGTCCCAGAAAACAACGTAGTGTGTTTGGACGTGACCCTGGTGGATCGTGTAGAATTCGTGGGGTCTATTCCGGAGAGGCGCAGCAACAGATGATCGGTATATAGAGATCATGCTCCTTATAAAGATGGGCGTCAGTAGCATTTCATACGATCAATAGGACTTTACTGCGCACACACACACACACAAGGCCCCTTTTAAACAGTTCGACATTTAGATCATCTTTCTCTGGACCCGTTGGATCTCGACTCCAGGTTCTTTCTTTTGCTCTACCCTCTCAATCTAGGGGCTCAGCTGGTCTGCCATGTCTTTCCTCAGAAGCAACAATCCGCGTCCAGATACGCTTTACGGAGCGCAGACTGATCCCGATCCATTTCGCGCAGGTCCAGTTCATAAGGCAACATCACTTCATGCCCCTAGACCTGGGCCAAACCGCTTTGCACCGCAAAAAGGTCCATCTGCCCCTCCAACCACAGGAGGTCCTGCCCGTCAACCCACGCAGCAACTCCCTGGCCAGCCTGCTCAGGGACCTCAACATCCACCTGTTCCCCTTCCTCAGTCTTCCTCCGTGAATCCAGCAGGTATTAGAGCGAAACCAGCAGGCGTGACACCGCTGTCATTGGGTGTCAATCCACGTCCATCTCGTATGGCAGGGCTGGCAGCAGGTGTCACTCAGCATCCAGGTATGCAAGGTCAGGGAGGACAGCATCCAGGTATGCAAGGTCAGGGAGGAGAGCATCCAGGTATGCAAGGTCAGGGAGAACAGCATCCCGAAGAGATACCAGACTGGGAGGTCGGCGACGACGACGTGCTCGGTCTGGCACCACCTCGCCAGAAGACGCGTCGCATAGCTCGCCCGACATATTCGCAAAACAAAGATTCATTTGACAGGACTAAAGCTGCTCTGGCAGCCCACGAAAATTTCGTCTACGATGAGGGTTGGGACGAAGAGGAGGACGAGGAAGGCGAGGGTCACTGGCCTGAAGACCAGGACGATCAGAACCCGACCCACTACGACTACGACCCAGATGACTATTACCGCGAGGATGATGACCCCAACGTTCATTACGGCATTGCCATTTAGCGGGATCAAGTCCGCGACCAACTCCAAATGACATGGCGAACTCGCGAGCGACTGGTTTTTGGGTTGGTTTTCCGTCTCTAGCCTATCGTCCTTTTGTCTCTTTGTACCTGGAGCCTCTCACTGTTTTTTTCTTTTCTTTTCTATATATGACCAAGTAAAGCGAGAAAGAAACGGAATGGATTCAGTCACTCGGGATTTTCTAAATTTTAATCAGAAATCAGGAAATGCTCTTAGTACCATTGATCTGTCCTTGTCTCTTGTCATCCCGGTGCCGTACCCAACAGTCTACCCAAAAACTAGCAGGACGCTGTGTCTTGTAGCGAGAGGCATAATATCGAGTCCTGACAACGTCGACTCGTCGGCTGGTTGATTGGTCAATTGATTCGAAGCTGGGCACGTGTGGAAATGACACATCTACTACCGAGTTGTGTGCTCCTCCCGGTCCACTGGGGTCAGGGGACAGACAGACAGAAATAGAACGGCAATCTATGAAACGACAGTTTACAAAGGTATTGCAAAAGGTGAAAAAACCAACCCCATCCAAAAACATATGAAATCAAAAACAAAGTGGGAGGCGTCCCCCTTTTCCTACGAGAAGTACTACTACAACTACTACTGCTGCTGCTGCTGCTGCTGCTGCTGCTGCTGCTGCTCAGTACGTCGCCTCAAAATCTCACACATGGTGGCTATAAGTGAGCATGTGGCGCCCTAGTGACATTTTGTATAGGTGACCAAGGTATCGAAAATTCCTATGTACATCGTACGTTGTGTTAGGCATCGGCCCCCTCTCCCCCTCCCCACCTCGAGTAAGCTAAGTACATACATTGGTGCGTGAGATTGTGTACCTTCCCTCTTGGAAAGGGGTCCACCGCGGCTTACTATACCTTTGTCGGATGTTTATGATAGCGTAAACACACCGATTGGTTTTGTACCCAAACTAGGATAAGTCTTGGCAGCCTCCACACGACTACCTCGTACATACACATGTAATCATTCATCAAGATCATTGTAATTACTCGGAACTCCGTAAGATAAGTTACCCACATGAAAAAAAGCGCCAAGAACTTTACTTTGGCACCAGCTAAACGGACTCCATATTATTCTATTACATACTCGTAAGAATCCTACGCGGGTATTATATGGATTTACTATTTCTCGGCTGAGCTGGATAGTCCGGAGACTATCTCCTTGTGATAACAGGCTGGGGAGATGTGGTTAACGGAGGCGCTTTACATGATGTGGTGATGGGATATCGATCCCATCGAGGCAGAGCCACGGGAACGGGTGGCTCTCCCTGTCAGCGGCAGTAAAGAGGGGATGAGGCACGTACGGTAGACGAGTAGAGGTAGGCGTTGAATAGTCCAGCGGGTTGTCGAGGCCGCTAATCCTCGGCCTCGACAGCTGCCTCTAGCCACAACCCACCAGAGACGTCCCTAAATACATCGGTCTACCACCAACGCTAGAAAAAAGGGCCGTTGAAATAACAAACATCATCTGCAATCATAATGTTTTGTGCCCATGTTTAGAAAGTTCTATTCGTGAGTTCAGGATACGTCCCGTGACAAGTGAAGTCGTTGTGAAACCCGCGGGTACTGGTCGACATTTAGCACTAGCATAGCTTGGGTGGGCAGACAGACATCGTCACGTCTGGCTATTTCTGTAACGCGCCCTTCGTGTCTGTTGACCTGTCAAGCGACGAGGCCCTCTATGCAAAATTCGAGTACTCTGCACAGCCCCAGCTCCTGCAGCTAAAGCTGCCGGGGCGATGCTACCAGCATCATATTCCACTGGACCTAGATGCCATGGGCGATCGATCTAGCACCCTTGATTGGATCCACGAGGTCCCGGTCAAAGTGCCGAAGCAGCTAGATTAATTGTCAGGATCACAAGGCAAATACATACAAGTACACGACAGTGTCAGCTCACCTCGACAAATGCCTTGTGTAGTTACATCATGGCGATACTCTTGCCCAGACATGCAAATCTACCGCTCCCAAATATCTTGATCTCAAGTCCCTGGCCTTGACTTCCGGATCAGGATGTAGCCATCTATCAGGCGATACAGATCTGCGTCTGCTCCAAAGATGTCTGTTCCCTGCCCAATCCCCTCGCAACAGAAAGCCACTTTGGTGCCCAGCGGGAAGAAGACTCCGTTGACTGTATCACCCTCAGGGGGAGCGAGTTTGCTCAGAAGGCCAAACAAAGGGGGGGAGCATTCTGATACCTTCCCAGATACAGGCAGATAGATCCTCGAGCTCGGCGGCCTCACTATACCTGACGGTCGGGTAGGAGATTTTGCCGCTCGCAACCGCCCTGTCGATCTCGGTAACGAGCTTTTGCTACGCCACTGGACTGCCGATCAACAACATCATTGTTATGCATTGAGCAGAAGACGTCGAATCGGAGCCAACGATGATCTGCAAGTGTGACTCAGCCTCAGCCTGTGTCTAACTGAGTCCTTTTGCGACAAAGTGTCCAAGCATGTCCCTTTTGACCTTGGGACCCGGCCGGTAGCGTTCAGCGACTGCTTTTTGAGGATGCATGTGCGCAGAGTATCGTGATTGAGGATCAACTCTATCACCTTGAAGAATTGGTTTGCGCTCTCATTGATATTGGAGAGGTCTCTCTTGGCGGCGACGAAGCCAAAAGCATCCCCAAATGCGATTTGGCTCAGCACATCCAAGGTTAACAAAGATGCCACCAGTGACACGTCAAGAGGCTTCCCGGTTATACTCTCGTCTGATCAGGGCTAGCAGCCTCTGCAGGTTCTCGTCAATGGCGGATTCCAACGTGTCAACCTCCCCCAGAATACTTGTCACCGGTCAGCACAATCAAGAACGTAAACACCAAAGTTACAGGAAACGCATATAGCTCGGGTGAATTTACTGCCCCTATCGTCTTCGACCTCATCTCGGCATGTCGTCGTTCATCGCGCTCCGAAAAGATGTTGTTAGCTCTGGAGTCTAGCTTCATGCCCTCGTACCACGAGCTCCGCGTCCATTTAGACCCAGGAGCACTCATGTGCCCCAGCAGATCGGGGTCATCCGTGACCAACAGACTGGGGCCTATCCGTGCCGGCGACCCTGCATCATAACTGTCAGCCTCGACCTCGTAGTTGGCGCTTGGCCAGCTTACCATATTTCTTGAGCGTCTCTTTCTGGGTGGTTGGCATGCGAGCATTGATGGCCAGTGAAACAAGCCACAAGCTCGCGAACGCAGCCAGAGGGGGTCATTTGAAGTGGCTAAGCTTCTGTCAACTGCGATAGATTCCAACGAGATAGCTGACCACGCAACCAGCAAACATGAGGGGAATTAGTGTTAGGGCAATAGAACCCTGTGATGCTGGTGGATCCGACATGGCGTGCAACTCACACTATCAACAATCGGGAGTGAAAGACGAATTCCAGGGGAGCATTGTTCGAGTCTTATCATCGACTCAATTGAAGCGCGGACACAGAACCTGTCCTCGACCTGTCAGTAGTGCGCACGAAGATTGGTGCAGCACTCGTTCAACATTGATGTCCAAGGGTGGCATAGGAAGAGCTGCAGCCGCACTTCGACGTCTTGGCCAGATATTCCTTCGAACGAGTGCCATTGCGCACCGTCTCAGTTCCACTGCATATCTTGGATCGTCTCGGGGGCTAGAGGATGAGTTCGGGATAGCTGAGGATGAGGGGCAAACTTCAGCCTGTCACATCTGACCTCGTTGATTATTTCGACACCAACCATGCTAGCTGAGGTATGTCTAGAGTATAGGTCACTCAGACTTGCAAGTGCGGCATCTTCATATTCATTTTGGGAGGAAGAGGGGAAAGATATGCCCAGCTGTTATTCTCCAGGCACTTCTAACGTGCCAAGAGCATTCTACTGCATCCTGGAGAACCTCTAGGTAGTCGGAGACAGTCCATAGATGACGGCCAAAGTGCCAATCATGGGTACACAAGTTTCACCATTAGACTTACATCTGCTGCTCTTCCAATTGAAGGGATCGAGCAGTCGTAAAGTGACAGCGACACACCCGGTCAAAAGCTTCGGTGGCTTCCAGCATCCATGTGTTGGGGAGGGCAATGTTATTTCGGTGGATAGAGAATCGAAAGATCATTATGTACAAGTTGGAGTCAAGGACGATGACAGCCTCGTTACGCCAAGGAATGATTCCGTAGTCTCTCCACACTTTATTGTCTATTAGCTCCCACGCTCCCTATAAGGCTCTACCTACTCTATCACGCAGCTCAAACCGATCCCCCACAAAACTACAGACTCATTTCATCTGATCCAAATCACACACCCGAACGCCTTTCGGACAATCCCTCTTTGATATTTCGCGCAGTCTCGTCTGATCTGTCTTCACCTCCGTCTCTTTTCTCTCCCTTCACCCTCCGTTCCTGCATCCCGTCGATCCCCTCTCGGAAATGGAAAACCACAACTCGCCCGGAGCTGCGCCCTCGAGTTCGGACCCCAAAGACCCAGCCTCCTTCCTATCATCGATCATCGGCGTGCCCGTGACTGTGAAGCTCAATTCTGGTGTGGTCTACAAAGGCGAGCTGCAGAGCGTGGACGGGTACATGAACATCGCACTGGAGAAGTGCAGTGAATATGTAGACGGGAAACTGCGACGCAAATATGGTGATGCATTCGTCAGAGGGAATAATGGTACGTTCTTCGACATGCTGCTCCTGCAAACTAGTGGCGCAAAATACCCGGGGGGGGGGGGGGGGGGGAACAAAGCAAGGCGATGGTGCTTTCGGCGAGAGTAGCTGCAAGTGAACATGGGAGTTTTGTCAATAAGTAGAGACCTTTGCTGACACAGTGGTGTGTTGATATAGTGCTGTATATTTCCAGCGACTGAGAGCAGTCCATGGCTGGCCCGCTGACTGATCAATACACTGATCGAGTGGAACCGCCAGATGGCGAGAGGAGGGGACAACCATGTGCATACCATGCGTGGCCGATAAATGCTCAAAAGGAGCACCACGGACGATCATAGGACCTGGAACAGTCGTCCCTTGATACGCATTCTGGATTCATACACTGCCTTGTCGAGCTTATCCGCCACTTGAACCTCGAGCAGGAGTGATCACGAATGGGGGAAGAGGGCTACAAGTCGACTCGAGTTTGCGAGCCTTCACACGAGGTGTAGCTCTAAAGAGGAGCCATTGGCAACGTTTACAGGAACGTCCGAAGGCGATGTGCGAAAATACTATGTTTGGTAACGACAAATCTAGCCACTGCTCTTGAGCGGCTCAGCAGGGATTTTTTTCGTCCAGAAGAACACGGTCCTCCCATGGACAGCGATCAAACCATCTCGATCAATCACGGTTCCCTCTGACCTCAGACTGTCGTCGAATGCTTTTCTCACCTTGTCCAGTTCTTCACCCTCTAATATCGCGAGTTGACTCAACGTCCTCAACCTGGCCCAGATATCTTCCTTCGACAGCCACGATGTGAACTCAACACTCCCTTCTCCCAAGGGCAGCCCAAACAGTGGGTTGGCGAAAGTTGCGCTCAAAGGGTTACTCGCCGTCTGGTCCTCGAACACTTGTCGCCATTTCTCGTGTCGAAAGCGTGGCGACCCGTCCTCGAACGTCCAAATCACGTCGCGCATGGCTTGCTCCCACCCCGGATGAATCGTCCACGATTTTGGTGAATTGTCTGCGTTATGGCCAGTGAGCTCTCCGGCTGTCTCAATCGCGGGTGACCACCCATACAGTCATCGATATTCCAAATCATGCCAAATACACCTGCTGGTCGGAGTGTGCGAGAAATCTCTTTCAACGCCTCACTGTTGGCAAACCTTGAACGAAAGCCATCAGATCACCAGAAAGATTTCTGTGGAAATGCTTGGGACGTACCAATGAAACGACTACGGGCTGGATCAGAATAAACTCGATCCGGTCAGGCACCGTCTGAACTCACCTGCGATGCTATGAGACACGCAAGAGACTCATTAGCGATGCCTGGCATGTTGTCGGCGGTGCCTTTAAGAACCCGTACATGGGCAAGGTGTTTCTGCTCCAGTTGCGCCCGCATGCCGTCGTGAGGCTCTATAGCGACGATATCATATTCTTCTGGTCTTCTCGCCAAAATCTCGGTGAATTTCCCAGTACCGGCCGCCAGGTCCGCAATCTTTGCGCCCTCGACGCCCGCGACTTCACAGGCTTCGAGGAGGCGTTGGACCGCTTCATCTGGATAGGTCGGACGATGAGCATCATAGGCTGCAGCTGGCGCGAAGCCACTCTGGGCTGGCTCCGCTATCTCCGAGTGTTTCATGACTCGAGTGTCGAGGGAAGATGGCGAAGGACAACCAGAGCAGATTTGAAAGTCGCATGCATACAACAAAGTAGCACGACCAGGTACCAGTGACTGTAGCACGTGGGAGAAACGCGCGGTGAGGGGTAAAAGCAAATCACCTCAACCCCGCAACAATGGCGTGCAGGTGGAAAAAAAAGTTGGTGGCGGACCAGATTGAAACCAATTTCACGCAGACAATAGTGAGACCAACGCCAAACATCTTCCTTGTGCATTCCAGTCCTGGTTCCCAAAACCTCGAATCGTGTCCTAGATCTCTCCCAGTCATGGTGCTACAGGCTATCCAGTATGAACCCGCTTCGGCCGATACCTCCCCATCGTTACGGATCCTCGATCAGCTGCTCCTACCACACCGAACCGCCTATGTTCCGATACGAGACTGCGAAGAAGCTCATGCCGCGATCAGACAGATGAAAGTTCGAGGGGCCCCAGCCATCGCCATCGTGGCGGCTCTAGCCCTGGCCGTCGAGGTGGGACGTGAGATCAGGAACGGGACGCTGGCTGCAGCAGGTCCGGAAGAGGTCAAGGACAGCATAGGCCGGCGGTTAGACTATCTAAAGACGAGTAGACCGACGGCGGTCAATCTCGGAGATGCAGTCGGCAAGCTCAAGATCGTGGCCAAGAAGGCCACATTGCAGCCGGGAGCGTCTGCGGGGTCTGTTGCCGGAGCCTACATTGCCGCCGCAGAACGGATGCTGGTGGACGATGTCTCCGACAACAAGGCTATTGGGGAGCATGGAGCTCGTTGGATCGAGGAAAACACCGCTGCCGGAAGGAAAAGAAAAGCAGACAAGAATCAAGAGCTTGCGGTTCTGACACATTGCAACACTGGGTGAGTGCAGAAACACTAGCCAGGCGAGAAACATTTCAGGAAGGGAACTGATGTTTGAACAGATCTCTGGCAACTGCAGGATATGGCACGGCGCTAGGTGTCATCAGATCACTGAGAGCCGTCGACATGCTCACCCGAGCATACTGCTCAGAGACTCGACCCTACAACCAAGGTTCACGGTTGACGGCATATGAACTCGTCCACGACGAGATCCCGGCCACGCTCATAACGGACTCGATGGCTTGTGCACTGATGGCTAGAGAAGGAGACCGTCTGGCAGCCATTGTTGTTGGAGCCGACAGAGTCGCAGCGAATGGCGACACAGCCAACAAAATCGGAACGCATTCTCTGGCTGTACTTGCCCGTCATCACGGGGTAAAATTCCTAGTTGCCGCTCCTAGGACAACCATCGACCGAGACACGTTATCGGGGAAGGACATTGTAATCGAGGAAAGAGCACCGGAAGAGGTGACAAGGATTAAGGGTCCCAGAGTTACGGTAGACGGAAAGTTACTTCTGGACGAAGGTTCAGAGATGGTGAGCACCGCTGCAGTTGGGATTGATGTATGGAATCCAGCCTTTGATGTGACCCCAGCAGAACTCATCGATGGAGTCATCACTGAAGTCGGAGTCATCGAGAAGGTAGATGGGAAGTTCAATTTCGGGATCATTTTCCCTCAACCCTGAGTCGCTTAGACCGTTTGGGAATCACACGACTCGTAAACCCTTGACTGGTAACCACCATGTTGGGTCAAGAGAACGAGCGGAAATACCAAGTGGAGCAAGAAGCGACCTGGATTGGCGTTGAAGGGCGTTGACGCGACCACGACGATCAGGAACCGATTGGCTCTCAGGTCTCGGTCTCGGAACATGTGAAAGGTGGTGGCCACGTGTCTGACAAGAAGGACCAGGCTGGCAAAACGCTGACCTACTTGGCATCGGAGGGTTTTGATGAGGGCTCCTGCAAACTTGACTCAGAAGGCTGTTCAAAGCTGGCTAAGAGCTGGTCAAGCTGTTTGTGGATGCCATCA